CAATCTAATATGTTATCTGATATTCGTTTATAAAATAGATCTAATAAAATTCTACTCGTGTACTACGAGATTAAACGAACTTTCCATTAATCAAATAGCAATTATATTAAGGGTATCATTATCGAAATCTTGAAATTATTTCCAATGGTACCTATATTGATAAAATGGCCAATTGTAAATTGAAATCGTAAGCATGTAATAAAGTTGTCCATTCGATTTATCTGAAATTAGACGTAGCTATAACATGCGAGCGTACAAATCCAGTTAACTTTGCATTGAATAACTTTCGGTTTCTCTGACCTCCATAGCCACACCATAAAATTCGATCGCAGATCTATGTAACGAGAAATCTTGTTATCTCAATCGAACATTCTCCACGTGAAAATGTACAATTTTTAATTTTCCCAGTTGATCAAACAGCATTTCCATTTTCGCGTTAATGAAACTGTTTAAAGATACATAAATCCTTCAGAGGTCCTAGATATTCCTGCTACTGTTCCTGTGCCATCACGTCGCATCATCGTTACCCTCGGATCTATTTTCGTCGCTTGTTTTTCCAACGCACCCCTAACCGTCTTCTTCCAGCGAGTTCGGGGGAAGGTCAGTATATTTAGATGAAGCAGCTGGAAAAAAAAGGGCCGGATGGAAGGACGTCTGTCTGTTTATTTTCAACCTTTGCTATCCGATAAAAAAAAAAAAGGTACATCCGCGTCTCTGCTAGACAAATCGCTATTGATGTACCGCCCGGAAGGGGTGGTCGTTGAAACGTTTCGACGGAACCCGCTGCACTTCAACCCTTTCACGATAGTTTCTTTTGTACCGGGAACAGTTTGTCGGATACTAACAAGTGCGGTGAACGATAAACAAAAGTACAATGGCAGAGCAAAGTACGAGAAAGATTGTTTTTCTATGGTGAAATCATAAATTCAGGTCGGAGCAGAGAAGGTAATAAATTATTCGAAGGGTTGATAGAAAGAAACTGGTCTCGATTAGATTCGTCCTTGCCTGTTAAAAAAAAAATTTATGAATGACTTTTCGAAAAGGATAATCAGCTAACAAGGACGGTCGCGCGAATGTCCTTTTATATGCAAATGTATGTAAAATCAGTGCGTGCCTGTTTCAGGTATACCTGGAATCGCGCGAAACAGAGAAGATCTACGCTTAGATAGGGAAATAATTGTGTCAGAATGCGAATCGCGAACTATTACGTGTTCTTTGTTACGTGATTTTTCTGGCAACCTCAGAGAATTTCATGTATTTTTCCACTTGAACCTTCATGGACTTCTAAACTATATAACATTCTAATTTATTGAAATATTTCTGCGATTACCACTCTTTCCAAACTCATCTAGTAAAGCTATTCCTACAACAAGGTCTCAATTTCAGGCAATTTCTCGGTTAAACGATCCCGACCAGTAACACTGTCCCCAATGAATGAAAGTCCGTAAATAGAACGAATTCAAGGCAGGATTTCATTTAAAGAGAAGGTTGATTCGATCCAAGATCCGAGCAACGTTACATCCTTTCATCTCTCCCTTCTCCCACCGTGACACAATTAATTTGCATGATTTGTGTGTTTATCGAGTAAGGACGCGCGACACTGTTAATGCCAATTATGGCCAGGCAAGTTTCTTCCACTGTTTAATTGGTAAAAGAAATCATCTTCGTTCAGGAAAGCAATTCTTGGAAGTTGAAACGGGGACACGCGCGTTAGACGAAGTCGCCAGGCCTCGATTGCGGTCGTCGTAAATTCTAATTCATCGCGAGAAGGAACAAGGAAAGCAGACGTCGACAATTGCGCTTAATTAATCCCTCTTCGAGGACGACTTTGCCCGTCTTTGCCCTGTCTACGATTCAGCGAAAGGCTTCTTACGCGCGAAGGAACTGCCGCGCGAGATACTAGGAATATTAAAATTAACTAAAGGTGATACTGAAAATTGGCAAATTTAAGTCTCTATCCATCTTTCAATTCCACAATTCCACTCGAGCCATTTTCGAACGTTAAGAAATAGAATGTTGGACAGGTTACAAGGCGAAACACGATCGTATCTGTTCCAGTCCCATAAATTGACCAATTTTTCCATCAAGTCCCATCGCGAACTGGAGGGTAAGGCGAGAGACAAGGGGAAAGATAGCGAGAGCGTGTCTGGCGTGGCTCGTCCTTATTGAGAAGTCGAAGAGAAAAGAAGAAAAAAAACGTGTCAGCCAGTGAGAACAAGCCGTATCGAGAGCACCGGGGGTCCTTATCGCGACACACGGGTACCTCGTAGCTTATTACCTTACCGCGCCCTTCTCTCCTTCGCTCTCGTCACGGCTCGTAAAGTCGACGTGGTCGCAAAAGGTGGCTCGCCAACAGGCTTCACCATCGGAAATTCCACGCGACTCGCCCGTCAGATGGTTCGACGGAGACGGAATAGAAAGAGAAATCCGTTGTAATCCTTCGCGGCCGCGATAGGGGCGCGTAGCCCGATATAGCTTTCCCTCGGGAAAATAATGACACGAACGAAAAAATCCTTTTCGTAATAATGTAACCAGTCGATCTCGAAAGGATCCTAGAAGAACCTAGATAGAACCTTTGAAAGGATCTAAGAAGATCTAAGATCTATCTTCATGGATGAAGAATATGGAAATCGAAGTTGCGCGAGACTGTACCGACCCGATTCTCTCTTTCTTCGTTTCTGTTCATCGATCTCGCTCTTTGTGGCTTGCTTTTATCGCGGCTGCCTACTCTAAATGTTTCTCTGGCATGAATTTATAACGACCACGGTGCACCGCCGCTAATAACGAGGCCCGATACCCAGCCGAGCGTTCTGTGCTCACTTGTTCCGCGCGCTGCCAATCGGATAGCCGTGGGCCAACGCCAAGCGTACTGGAAACTGAATGCATTCAGTCGGCTCGTGACGAGTACTGCAAGATTATTGCCACCAATACAGTGGGAATAATTGAGCCGGGAGAGGTGTTCGAAAATCACCTGTGCCCGGTACAATGCATCCGAAATGATCGGTATCGGGTTGAACGGACCCGGAATCGCCGATAGCTCGTAAGGATTCGTGATCGTTTCGTATCGGGTCCCACGAGTCCGGTGTCGCTCACGGCAGCTAATTACCAGAGAGCAACGTAGCAAGCTAGCTGCTAATCGGACCGGACAATCAAAGTGTCCGATGGCTGTCCGACACGATCCCGGGGCTGTCGCACTGTCAAACTAAATTCTGAAATCCGAACCATCGGTGTGGTACGATGCTGTGTCGAAAGAACACGCGGCTGCCAGCTCTGTATCTAGCGTATAAGATCGTGTGTGCCATTCAACGACGACGATAGAGTAGTTTCGCGTGTCGGATTGGCTGTCGCCAGCGCGAACGGGTAGCAACCACGGACTTTCACTGATCTACGAGCAACCGGCCGTTCGAGACCCCGATTCCTCCGCGATTCTCGTAGCCACGCTGCGTAAAATCGCTTCTCCTTCGCCGCATGGCGCTCCATTCATTGCCATAGGCACGCTCCGTACTCTACTTAACGAACCGTGCCCACCTTTTTTGCCAGCCACGGTAGCCGCTCTGTAATTTCCCCCCTGCTTTCATCCCCGGGACGATTTTTCTCAAAAATCATCGTCAGAATTTAATCGAAGTCCGATTGAATTGAATTCTCGTCGTTTGAAATTTATCGAGAGCCACATCGCCCTGAAACCGCGCGCGGAAAACGAGTTTCGATCAGCGCCGCGAAACCGAGAATGTCGTCGCGAGAACGAGCTGGTGCGGCGATCATTAGCTACGAGAAAACAGGAAAAATCCACGACAGCCATGCTGATACGGGGATTATTATTAACTGTGCACCGTGTCGTTGATGATTGTGTTCCATGTTACATAAATAGCCAGGAACGGTATCGGTATTCCGTGATAAATTTCACGGAATTTACAATCGAGATAAAGGGAATTTGCATCGGGCGAAAATAACTAGCCGTCGTGTCTATAATGGCGTGCTTGAACGACGGCATAAGTTCGCTCGCTTTATGGCGGTGTACGGTTCAGGTTGAGGCGGGACTAGTTTATACGACACGAAACTATGTTGCCGATCCGAAATGTGAGTCGTAATGTCGGATAAAAAAAAAAAATCGATAGATTATCGATCAAATTGAAGCAAACTTGAGATATTACAATAAAACGTTCAAACGAGATTATAAAAATTTTCGTCTTGCAATGAAACGAGGTTCGAGTCGACGACCAGCGAGTGGTATAAATTGACTACCAGCATCCGGATACCCGCATGTTGAATACCAACGCGAATAACCCTGGAACCCTGTAGGGTGCGGTACAAAAGTCCCTGAAAGCCGTGCAACTCGTTATCGACGACCTTGATACCCATGGAAGTCGATACGAACGTCTCAGGGTCGTGATACAGACGATACTGGATCGGTAGGACTCGATATTCGGAATTTACGAGATCCAGTACACTTAATTCTAGATTCGTATTCACGAGACTCGATAAGGACTAACTTCAACTTATGGTTTCGATACAAGCAATTCTGGATCCCATGGATTGAAATGGTTCTTGGCGAATTGACAGGGTCAAGAAAATGAAAAAAAAAAAGAAGAGAAAGACGATCGTTCGATCGATTCAAGCGTATTTTCTGTTGCCGTTCTTCGTGTCACGGCGTTTCCTACACGCGCCGACTTAATTCGTAATTCAATCGACGTAGAAGCAAGAGCTTCCGGTGGACGTCACACGCATCCTTCTTCCTCTGTTTCACGAGCCGCGACTAAAGTACGTGTCCCATAGCATTTTATGCGTTTCCATTTAACGCTCGATTGTGTACGTACACGCGCTCGAACTTTAATCAAGCTTAGAATTTTCAAGAAGCTTCTTGAAATCGTTCGAGCGCGATATATTTTCCAAATTTTTGATTACCTTTCCATCGATCGATCGTCGGTTAAAATGTTACAAAGGAGAAAGAAGTTTCGTATTTCATTTTTGGAGGCGCATTAATTATTTGTTTAATCACTTACCTTGCACAGAGCGACGCCAGTGTCCAGCCTGTCCATAAAATTGTCAACGTTGATTCTCAATTCCGGATACAAAGCGTTCAACCATTCGGCCAGGTCCTCCTTCATCGCGACCAGATACTCCTCCGAAGACTTGAAAGGTCTGTAAGACCTTGCTTCCAGAAGCACCGACATTTTGGCTGCTCGCTACCTGAAACAAAATCATTTTCCATTAGAATCTGTTCAAACTTATCAATAAAGATTTGATAGTATCCTACTCGAAATTAATTCAAACACCTGAAGTATTCAAAACCGACAGCAGAATGAACGGTCTTTCGAATGTGACACGATTTCTAATGCGAACGTTCTCTCGCGGTGCGAACGTGAACTGCAGTAAGTGTGAACTAAACCTTTACACCAAGTTGCATGGTCCTTTTATAGGAAAAACCCATCGGCCACTTGGTAACCAATTAGAATTAAGAAATACCTTCCATTATGGACGGTCACCTCGTTGCCGGCCAATATGACCTGGAATACCGTTTACCTACCCCTCGGATTAAAGTATCGTCACAGTGGTTTTACCAATTCAAAGTACAAATAAGTTCTCTAATTTTTGTACTTAAACTCTAAAATTCTACTTTGTAAATTCACAGAAAAATATAAGATTTTTTGGTAAAATTGATTTCATGACGAGAACGACCAGTCGTCTACCATTTTAAAGCACACTACGAATGGGCAATAAAATTTCCAGGGATTTGCAACACAATGGTGATGGGTCTGTATCGTTGACTGCCCTAGAAACTCTCCCCCAGTTGACGCACCGGTTAAACCACCCCATAAGGCCGTTGTCTGTTGCTCAACGTATGAAAAGCCGTGCCATATCGCGTTCGTTGTTTGCCAGTCCCCTGGTTACCCTTCGAAAATCTCCGTTATTCTCATCAAGCGACGATGATCCGTGGCCGAAGCAGTTTCGACGGACCGTATTCTACCCCTTTGGGACCAGCTATCACATGGGATGAACCGCAGCACGAAGCTGGGCGACGATCGAGTTTGCAATTCGTTTCAATGAATTAGGGTACTCGCGTAAATTTCGTCCCCTCGATTGCTACCATTTGTAAATTTATCATTTTTCTACAGCCCATTTTACAACTCTATAAATTCTCCACTTTCATAATTGTAATAATTTTATCTAATGTGCCAATAACTTGTTAATTCCGTCTAACCACCAGATGAAAAATTCGACTGGTTTTCTAGCTTAAAAGTGTTAACCGAATAGTTCCGCAATTTTAAAGCCTAGCTTACTGGTTGTACAATTAGATAGCCTGCTATAATAATTTCATAGCGTAGTGGTCCGGACAAATAGTCTGCTGGTTGTACAATTTAATACCTAGTCTAGCGGTTTGGCATTCTGCTGGTGTATACTCCATTAGATCAATGCTTTAATAGTCTAGTTTTATGATCCACGGTCGCATAGTCCTGTAATTTCATTTCAATAAATGCTATTTTGGTAATATTACAATTGAAACCTTTCACCTGTTACTTTCATATCCATATTCTTCCATATTCCATTATATTATATTTAAATTTCGACAAGAATCATTGTTCCTATTCGAGGCGGTTGATTGAAATAGAGAAACGAAGGAAGGGCTGGTAGAAAAAGGAACCGAAGGACAAAGGGAGGAAAAGCATAAAGGCGAGTTCGTGCAGCAACATCGACGATCGTGGATTACCGTTTACAAAAGGTGACTGTAAAATGTCACCGTCTCGCGTTTCCCCGCGATGCAAAGCGTATGATTTACTCCTCGTTAACACCGCCTCGTTATTGTAAGCTGCTCGAGAGCCCGTAGATACCGCGAGACAGGTGTTTCGATTCTAAATGGCAAAGTGTAAATTTTCCTTTACCTAGATATTTATTCGGACGAGAATGAAATATTTCGAATGATGTACGCTGCGTGCATAAAATATTATTTTATTATTGCCTGTGATGGTTGAAATGCAAAAAAAAAAAAAAGGGGAAACAAAGAGGAAGGATAGAAACGAACGAGGCATAAATCGAGCCGTTTATTGCGAGGTGTCGAGGTCGAAAAATCACGGCGATGCGCGCTCGACCCGGAGGAATTACGATGCGATAGCGATCGGGTTTTGCCACAACTTGTGAAAGTGTTTGCTAGGTAGGTGTACACTAAACAAGCGTGTTTCGTTTTACAGTACGATACACTTCCTGCAATCCTTGCCTGCAGCTCTCCAATTCAATTTTCTAGCACCAGCAGCAACGGCAACTCTTTCGTTTTAGAGAAACGCGCGCGCGAGAGAGAAGCTCTCATGGATTTACGATCCATAAAGCAAGCGTTGGCCAACTTGTCCGTCGATCGATTCGACGACAAAATAAGCAAAATATTGACGTTTTGACGAGTAAAAACCATGAACGACGATCGTAACTTTGCTTCGAAGAAAATAGCGATAGCGCACGGATAGGCAGGGTGTAAACTTCGCTTAATGGAGGAAGAATATGTAAATTAAATGGATAAATATATTTGACTTCGCGAATGATAAATTGTTTGCTCAACGAGAGAAAGTTTTGTCGTGCGTGAGATATTGTAATTGAATATGTTAAACAGTTATGTCGACGTACATTTCAATTTTAATATTAATGTTAAGAATTACTTAATCTCCGCTCGCATAGTTCCAGCGATTTTAATCCAGAAGATCGGAAATACAGAAACGCTAGGTCGAAAAGATCAAAGTGATGAAACTCGTTAATTAATCACTTGCAATTACCTCCGGCAACCCTTTTCCATTCATAACATCTCACTCGTTTCTCCAGTACGTTCCCAATTAACCTCATTACCCGTTCTGCCATCAGCCAGAAATCTCGCGGGAGAAACAATGCCGCCGAAGAACGGCTACGAAAATGGAGTCGATCCATTCGCAAAGCCGCAAACAACATAGTTCGTTCATGAATTTCCATACCAACGTCTTTATTACGCGGTTTCTTTTCGAGCCAGCAGACCGGTCGACGTATAAGGAACGCGACCACGACCAAGTCGACCAATATAATCGAGAATCGAGAAGCAATATGCGCTGTCTAGCCTTCGGAAGCTTACTTACAGCTGTTTTTCCTCTTGATACTCGAATATTATTAAATACGAGTACCGGTGTAACTACCTACAATTTTTTTTTTTGGGATGGGTCAATTCAAATTTTCGAGAGCTAGGACCCTAAATTTATTAGGGTTGTCGGTACATCGACTAGGAACTTTACCATTACAATTTTCATAGCGAACAATAACTAGGCACCACCCTAATTTAACGGTAATTAATTTAACGGTACCCGTCAGGTACCCGATAGACCCCTAATCTACCCAAAATTATCCTAAAATTCCAATAGCAGCTCGTAAACTCATAAAGCAATTCTGATAAACAAAAACGAAAATTTCTAGAAACAAGCAGGTATGTCTATTAATTTTCCGGATCTATTGTTCCATCAAACTTTAGTTATTAAAGTGGCTCAAGACTACTAAACCCTGTAACCCTACGAAACGACAGAAAATCAATGTTTCTAACTCCGTCTACTTTCTCCCTCGTTTATAAAGTAAAACGTACGAGGTGTACAGTCTCTTTTGTCGCAACATGCATCGCGATATACCGTTAGGATGAGCTAAGTACACCTTTAAAGTACGCTCACGTAGGTAAACTTACGAACTGGCTCTTTCACAGGGAGGACCATAGTCCGTACACCTTTTGATATTCCCTTCTTCTAGCGCGGTTCAATGGAATAATAAAAACCCTCCGGGCATGCACCCTTCTTTTTGATACCAACTATCATCCGCCACGAGCGAAAGAAGAGTACATACACGTTTCTGTTGATATTACGATGGCGTTCAAGTTGGTATCAATTTTGTGTAATAATAATTAATCGTACACGTAATTATCCTCACACGGACGGACAAATTATCGAGATTTATAAATCACGAATCAAACAGAACCGCCAACGTTTCTAATCGGTTTATGGATTCGGTAGCGTCGTAAATCGCGGCGAACTGTTATTTCAGCTGATAATTTCGCGACGGTAAATATGAATGAACGACGAATTCGAGCGGACGCGTGACGCCCGCAACGAGGCGCGCCGGCCAATTAATGGTCATTTGCTCTTTTACAGCCCATTAAATGTCAACTGGATCGGTCTTTCCTTTTTTTTTCTTTCTTTCTTTCTCTCGTCACGGATCCCTCAACGGGAATATCAGATTCTGCATATAACTAGAACCCAGCCGACACAGACCTTACGTAACCGCGCTCGATACGTTGTAGTAATAATTATTCAGATTTCCCCGTTGACGAGGTGTACTTTTAAATTGCAACACCGACTTGCTGACAATCGAAAGCTTTCCACGATGATATAAATCATAGCGAGTGCTGGGTAATAACCGGACGACTCCGTAAAGTAGCGCGTGCAAGCGAAAGAACACTCGTTGCTCCTTCATTTTTTATGACTCTCGTCATAGTAAGAACGTAAGCCTTGTTACAAGATCTAGAATTCTTTTACAGAGCTATTCTTGGGCGTAGACTAGTCATTTCCCACGGTATTTACCACAATATATAAAAATATCCATCCCCTATAATTCTCTACGATATTAACCCTCGTTCCTTTCCAATTCCCAATTCCTCCCCTGACAATAGAATTCCGCGATTTATGCCTACTGCACTCGCGATATCCCAAGAAATTCGATCCTTCGTACGCCTTATCTGTATCGTCGCGTTTATGCATATCAGCCAGACGGAGGGAAAAGGGAGACAAGGGAAGGGCGTTGAATATAATTAGGTTGCAGCACGGATACAGGGCCAATAAAGTTTCCCCCGGCCCTCGGTGTCGTAACGCTTAACGATTTCATTCATTCCCGACGAACAGAGAAAATGAACCTGTTTCGAGGTACGTCGTTCGCTGGCATGCACCGCGAATGCAAATGCAAAGCGGGCCGGCTTATGGGCGCGCTCGAAATGCCTGCATCATAATGCCGTATAACGCGCGAACACGTCGAAGAAACGCGGTATCTCGGCACCGTATCACCGTCCCGTGATAACGTCCGAAACATTTCTCTGCTCGTTTGTCATCGTACACGTACGACGCCGTTGTAGCGGGGAAAATTGATCGAACCGCTGCTCTCGTGCGAAGCCAACCCTCCTTTCGCGTTTTCTTTTTTCATACGATGAGCGTTTGTAGATTACGGCATGGATTCGGGGAAAATTATTGGTGCTTATCAAATGTAAATTTTACCCCGGTAACGCATGGACTTTAAATGATTTTTAACGCTGTAAAGGACGGGGTTTCATGTTTGGAAATAAGTCGCGAGGAAAAATGTAAAACTCTAATATACGGAGGGAAGTCGATACTCGAGGAGGAATAGAAAGGTGTTCGACAGCTTGAAATCACGATGAAAAATCGGTTGGAAAATGTTAAAATATTCAAAGAGACACGATAAGCAGGCACACGGTGCAACGGGAACTGGATGATTGATCGAACTCGAGCAATAAACAAATACAAATTTATCCGACACGCCGATGGAATTCGTATTATCGATATACGCGAGCACGATTTTTCATTTTCTTTCGCGATAACTAAATCGCCAATAAATTATTCAACCTTACCGGACAACGTTCGGATCGTTTTCGTAATGTAATTATTTATGTAATCCGTAGGAATTTTTGTTCCTTTTTAAACGTGAATTATCTAACGTGGATCTAAAGCAAGCGTAAGTGAATTTTCCACATAAATTATCACGCGAACATAAATCCTTCTGGCATCTGAACCCGTGAGCTTCGGAACGAGTTGTACGACCGATGATTCGATTACAAAACTTTCAAATTAATTCCTTTAAACAAAGATTTCAAGCTTATTCTCTTTGCGAGAATGCCCTCTTTTCCTTATCGTTGAAAAGAAAAAGAAAATCCATTAACCCGGGCCACTTTTCTGCCATTTACAAAACGAAATAATACAACTTCGTTTCTGATCCTCTCAGCCGAAGAGGAATCGTCTCCGTCTGAACCACTCGAGCGGAATCTCATCCCCCTTCATAATCTTTCCGCTCGCGCCGAAGATAAAAGGGCGAAAAAGGAAAGAGGAACGTTCTTTCTCGTGGAATAAAGAAAAAGAGGAAAGCGGCGTACCGGGCCTAAAATAGTGATCCGAAAGGAGGAGAACGAGAGCACGCATGGAATCTTCGCGGTAAAGGCGAGAAGATAGGATACTGGTATGGGCGCGTGCGCAACAGCGAGCGACCAGGTGTGCACATGACCGTACGCTCGCGCCGGCGAAACTGACCGGCTGCTACTCGGCAGAAAATCTTGTGAATGAGTTGCTTCTCCATTCACTTTTAAATGGACTCGTTGGGGCGCGAGCGAACGCGCTTCCTTCTTCGCGCCAATTTTACCCCCTGCTGCACGCGAACCAGCGTATTTCATACCGATCCTTGTCTCGTTCCAATCGACAGGAAATTTCATTTCATTATCTAAACGACTGAGAGTAAAAACTCTCAACGACAATGAAAGAAGGAATTAAAAGAATCATTTTCCTCGGATTAGAAATACAATCGAGAGAAAGCGGAAGAGATTAATGGAAACGAAGTGGGAACGTTCAAATAAATAGGGAATATATATAAGAGGAAAACGAGGCGCCGGATGGATAGATGGTTACGAAGATGGATACGGAGAGAGACGAGGCATTTGCATATTATGTCTTGATACACAGGTTCCGGGAATGCAAATAAGGCGGTTAAGAAAACTAGTAGGCAACCGTGCGCGCGTAAACAATGGCGATGAAAATATTTGCGCGACAAAGGGGAAAGTTGTGCCGGGAAATCCAGGTAGCAAAGAAAGCTGATTCGAGATCTTAACAAAAGTGGCGTTCGAACGGTGAAAAATGAAATGGCCACGTTCTAACGTGGAATCACCGACGAATGCATCCCGATCGCGAGAGGTATCAAAGGCCCGAGTCAAATGACCGCACGATCATGATTATTCATCGAGTTACAGCTCGTACAGGTCCGAGTTTTACGAGAAGTGGGGGTAGAACGGTTTCGAAAGGCGTTACAGGGGTGGCGATTATCGGCAAAGTGCATCTGGCAAGTGCATCTAAAGCCCATCGAACTATCCGACAGGTATCTCGGGTACTGGTTTCGCGTTTCCACTGGTTGCAACCAGCACGAAATCTCATCGCGATCGAGCATGTTACAACCGAGCTTTGTCTTGGTCCCGCTCTTTTAATCTTGCATCTTCTATTCGCGCTTACGTCGTGGCTCGCGACTTCCACGATCCTCCCCTATTGCCAATTCAATCGTAACGTGAATTATCGTTGGATAAATCACCGTGCTAATCCAACGTATAAAACCGTTCTTCGCCGCTTACATTGTTGAATTTTAATAAACAATTCTGTCGGTAATTTAGTATGCATCCTGAGACGTTATCTCTGTCCACGGTCTCATTTGCAAAGCAAAGTCTAACTATCCCGCGTGAGTGGCATTCTATCTTTGCGTCTGGTAATATCATTATCCCCCACCTTAGCAACGCGACAGTATCATTCCACGGATACGATTTATTTGTTCCTAACACATGCAACACGTTAACGCGTTAATCGGCCCTCATTTGCCTTTTAAGAGTGTTTTCAAACGTGCTGAGGACAGGTGAGTCAGCGTCCAGCACTGAGAAAATTTATTAAGGCATGTAAGGTAAAACCGCTTAAAAATAGACGTCAATAACAATCCGTGCAACGATATAGAGATATCATATAAAACGGCAACAAAATGTTAATGGAGTTACCTTTTTTTAACCGGTAAGGTTATTTGCAACTTTTTTCCCCGATAAAAGTTATTTCTCAAGGATGAGATATTTCAATGGTAATGGAGACTCGAATTTTATGATAGAAATATCAAGGTTGCAGACAATTGATTGCACTTTTTTTTAAATTTGGAGTAACTTCGATTAGGATATATTCCCAAAGGTAATCTTCTGCGTTTTGGTAATAAAAGATATGATAAATCATAAATGAAAAGGAATTTCATATTGATTTTTATTTGGAAAAATTCAAGCTATGGAAAATTAAGTTTACTCATAAAATCAAGAAAAAAGTGCAATATATAATTGCTTGTTAGCTAAAAGTTATCGTAATGCTAATTTAAACAACACTCGATCCACTGTTTGAGGAGTAATCATGTATAAACACACGGCAAATATTTACCGTGTTGAATCAATGAAAACTTTGTTTGATAGTGACATCTTTGAACCACCGTGTCTTTTATACTTATGATCGCATTAACCTGTTAAGAACCAGTTAGTAATGTTACTTCAACGCCACATTAATCCATAATGAGTCAACATTTAACGTAATTTTAAACACAATATCGTCATCGACAGACGTTTATCACGTTTTTTTTTTTCATACATCACGAGATAAACCGGAATCGTTGACTGAATATGTAATATCTGGCTTGACGAAATCGTACTCAGTTTTATCAAAAATATGGTAATGACCATACTTTTATATTTAGACGGTTTATATATAATCGAAATCTCTGTTGAAGTAATATTCTAATAGTTAATGTAATTTTAATTATTTATATAAATAGATATATGCATATTGTGCTACGTAAAATAGTGCTTTTAATTTGAAAAGTATAGTACGCCAGAAACGACGGTCGCACGGAGCGAACCTAACCCCCCGTTTGATTTGAAACGTCAAACGGCACGCAATTATCGCGAAGACGACAGTTCAATATTCCTCGACTAATAATAATAATTATCCTGTAATTACATATAAATATGACGATTCAGCATAAAAGCTTGATAACTGAGCAACGCAAATTCGAATAAATTTTTACCGCCATTACGAAAGTACGGTCGCATGAAATTATATTTGAGACATCACTCACCTTTGTCAGCTGTATCCACGAGAGAAACCGTCTTCACGTATCCCTGACAAGCACACGCGACGAGTCTCGCATCGACGAACGATTTAATTCAAAAATCGTCTCGATTTCTCGCCCACGAAACCGTTCTTTTACATCGAGCAAAGTGAAGTACGACTTTCGCGTGTTACACGATCGATTCACCGCATTTACGACTGACAGTTCTCACTTCGATGTCCCGTTGATTGCAATACACGGTAGAAGCTCGATGACACCCTGCAGCAAATCGTGTTCTTTTCTCGTGGTGAATTATCAAGCAAGTTTGTGTTGAGTCTCTCGGTTTGTTTTCAATTTATATGATACACTTCACGACAACGCGCTGATACCCCATACTCACGTCTCGCGGTCCAAACAGAGACTGAAGCGCCTAGCTACTATCCACCCGTATAAATGCCCCGCCGCAGCGTGAATGTAGTCGTTGATTCTTGTTGGGAGGGAACTGCGATATCTCGATTTCTCGCCAGGAGTCAGCACAATCCTAAGGGAAAATTAATAAATGTTAGATATTAAGTATTAATATTAAATTTTTACCGAAACAAGCATGAATTATTTAAATTCATGGAACTCCCTTTGTTCAAAGTATTATACAATTCTACTGGAGACCAACTTGGTAATCATATTGCGCATTAGAATATTTCACATAGATACAAATGTATATGTATGTACGTTTGTACAGTTATATTATTATCAATAAATGGATTGAAAAAACTTTGAATAAGCCTTATAATTCAACCTAATATTTAAACCTTTTTAAATATAAACCACTGCGTGTTTTGAGAATGATATCACCTACACTACCTAGTGGCGATTGGCAAAATTAATGAAATAGAAGAGCAATGTTATATTAGTTTCAGTTGATAGAGCAGAAATTATAACGTTCTTTACCTTCTGGAATGACCGTAGATGTCATTGCGGAAAAAGAATAAACTATAGACAATTTTCATTACGAATTTTACTATGAGACGACGATAAGTAGAGAAACAACGATACATATTTTATTTTACTAGCATTTCCAGATATTTTTGCGATATCGATTCAAGTCCTTTTTAAGCTTGAGCATTCTAAAGAAACACGCGTTTTGTATTAAATTTTATGTAGTATTAACGGAACATATCGAATGTAACAGACAACGTAACAACATCTGAGGTTAAGTGATACAGTACCATTTCTTATATCGAGATCTTTTTTTTTTAATCGCTTGATCATTCAGAAAAATGCCTGCACCAAATTCTATCAGCGTAGCTGTAATATGTTCTAGCAATATGAATAGAAGTATGGAAGCTCATGCTTTTCTGAGGTAATCTATCATATTTTACCATCAAATTGTGGTGCTTTCACTATGGATATTATATAAAACAAAATGATTCTTTTTTCTTTTTAGTAAAAAGGGATTCAACGTAAAATCTTTTGGTACTGGTGATAAAGTAAAACTTCCTGGAAATGCTCCTGATCGACCCAACATCTATGATTTTGGAACAACATATGATGAAATTTACAATGATCTTTTATCAAAGGACAAGCAATAGTATCCTAATAAATAACTTTTCTTTTCAGGCTGTGATTATAAGAATTGATTAACTTCTAAAAAAGACAAATATTTTTTTTGAAATAATCATTTTTCCATTGAATTATTACAACTTAACATAATAAAAATGAACTGTTAAATAAAATCTGTTTATTATTGTAATACGATGTTATAGGATAATTGAAATCAAATTCCTTAACTGTAATATTAGCTACACCCAAAATGGTTTATTACATATGTTGGACAGAAACCGTAGAATAAAACCTAAACCAGAAAGGTTTCAGTTATCTAAGGACAAGTTTGATATCTTAATCACTTGTGAAGAACGTGTATATGACCAAGTAATTGAATGCATGGAATCCAGAACTCCAGAGGATAATCAACCTGTGCATTTGATTAATATTGATATTCAAGATAATCATGAAGAAGCTACTGTTGGATCATTTCTCATTTGTGAATTAGTCACTGTGGTACCTTAAAATATATCTGAATTCATATTCTTTTTAATACACTTGCTCTAGATCATTTTTATCAAACGATGTATCATTTGTGTATGTTGCAGTTGGCCAATAGCGAGGACTTAGATAACGATATAGACGAATTGCTTCACGAATTTGAATCGAAGTTTCAAAGAACAATTCTGCATACCGTGCTTTTTTATTAAAAAGGCTTTCGTGTATTGAGAACCTGGTGTTCGTCGATAACGTAGCTTATGAAAAAAGAAAGCTAAATTATACGCTATAAATGTACTACCACATTTTCCAAATCAGATTATGTGGAAGGAATTTCGGTAGCGACAAATAGGAATTCAATCCGTGCTTCCTGTTTAACGAATCATTACTTTCCATAGAATATGTTTCAGAGATCTGCTGTTATGTTCTATATGGAATTATCTGCAATCCATGGCATGATATGAAAACAGCATCATTATGCTCATTTAATGATTTCGATCATTGATGAGCGTAATTAGAAAAATAAAGACAATGGATATAAATGATGAAAGATTTTAATTTTATAATATATGCGCGTATAAGTGATCCTTATATGTGTGTGTATTTTATTGTTAGAATGTATTTCTGGTACATAGAATTGATATGAATCTCTGGAGCTCTTTTAAATTCGGAGATTTGTATATTACAAAATATGATCCGCTGTTATATAGCGAAAAGGCCTTCGATTCACACAATTTAAATAATGCATCGTACTAATATTCATGAATCAATGTCGATCAAGATGTGCATACAATCTTCTTGTTTTTTCACGTTTCTTTTTATTTGCATGTTTATTGATCTTTTTCCATGGTTTCTCTTCAAGTGTTAAACTCTGTGTGGAACCAATCATTGATACTGTATCCCTGGAAGATTACAATAATTACCAAATATTATCGAAAAACAAATTCGTGTAAAATGATCTATTACTTATTATTATATATTATTGTCAATAATTATACAAGGATGACTTTATGAAATAATAAATATACAATAATGTTACATACTTAGAATCATAACGGCATATACCGTGCATCTTTCCCATTACTCCCTTTACATGCGCGGCAGAACTATTGTTTTGGAAAAATACTTTATCCACATCTTCGGAAGTGACTTTACTTCCCTTATTTGCGCTTATTGTCTTAATCGGTACGTGTTTGTTTGTAGAATGAATTCTTTTTCGTGGAGGGAATGTATGGAATTTTTCTTGCTCTACTGTTGGCGGTGCGACACAATACAGTAGTTTACCGTTTACAAAATCTTTTAAAAGGTATCGACTCGAACGTGGATTGTCCGGTTGTCCATTTTGTGTCATGAAACCTCTATTATCTACAACGACAGAGTAAAATCGTTAACAAATTGTTATATTACTTAAGCAATATTTACACGAAAATACCTACATCCGTAGGCGTTTAAAATTTCTTCTGCAGTTGGGGGACGATCAGGATCTTCTCCTTCTAACGGTAGAGGTATCATGATACCATAAAGATCTTCTAAAATATGTCGCGGTATTAAAGTACCGAGTAAGGTGATTGGTGGTACATGGTCTTTCATTTGATCAATAGGTAATATGCCATTTAAAATCATTTCTGCTTTTGTGGAAATAAAGCTAGGCATTACTAATCCAGGACAATCGCATAAAAGTAAATCCTTATCCAAGAACAGTGTCTGGAAATGCTTTGTCTTTCCTGGTGTTGCTGAGACTGATACTTTTTTGTCCATTAATAAAGCATTAATTGTGGAACTTTTACCAACATTTGGATATCCTACTAAACCAATTGTTGCAACACCTTTTGTATATGTTTCACCTTTGTAAATTGTTTTGAAAAATGATACTAATTGATCTCTGCCTAATAACTCTGATGAATTTTGGACTTTTGTGTTGTCTTCTTTCTTATTTTGTTCGTCTACTTTTTCAATGATAGTTTCTGGTGCAGGTAAATTACATTCATTGCCTTTGGGATGGACTGGTTCTTCAACTTTTAGTTTAGAAATTTTATCTGTATCCTCTGTATTAGTGCTATTACTACCATCATCTGCACTTTCATATTCACTTTCTGAAGCAAATTCTGAATTATATAAGGATTCATCACTGTGATCATTCTCATCCCCTTCACTTTCTAGATCACTATCTAGTTCATCTTCAGAACCTTCCTCCTCTATTATGTTTTTAGCCTTCTGTTCTTCTGATGCCAATGTGGCAGAAAAGAATGCAACTTGGACATTAATATCTGAAAAATATTTTGCCCATCCTTGTCTTTGTTCCTCTGTTAGGAAATCTGCTTTATTGATCAATATCATATTCATTTTCTTTGGATCTACTTCTTTGACATACTCTTCCAAATCCTCACAGCGAAAGAGCAAAGGATTCCTTGCATCAACAATTTGCACAATAACATCACTGCGTTCTACAACCCTCCATAGCTGCCTCCAAAATTCCAAATTTTTTTCATAAGGAGTTAACATCAATCCTTCTACTTCTTGTAACATAGAAAGTGAACGTCTCCATTCCAGGAATTCTTCTCTTTCTTTACTTTGCAGTTCCTGAGCAGTTGTGGTACTATCCCATTTTGGTCTTCTGGGTATTTTCAAGAATACTTTATTTTTTCTTTGCGACTCCAATACCTGTTCTTTTTCATCTTTCGAAAGTAATCCTATACCGCTCTTTGGATTAACGAACTTAATATTCAACTTTTCGGCATAGAACTCAGTCCCCGCTAATTCCGCGGTAGAAAGAAACTCTTGAAAAGAATTTTCTTCGGTAACAGATTGAAGATTAAGACGTCCCCAGTCGTATCCATCGTTTATTTCAGCCGTATGAAGCTAATTTAAATCATAATTTCAAAATAATAAAGATTATTTAACAGATTTTATACACGTGCATTAGAATAGAAGGTTATAAATAAAAGCATTACCTTACCATAGACGAGCCAACATTTTTTCTATTTCTCGAAGAACCGAAACGATCTCTGATCAAAGCTTTGCCTAAATTACCACCTTCTGCTTTTCCTTTTTTACCCATTATATATTAAATCTAGTGTTTCGGAATAATATAAGACAAGGTTAATCTATAATAACAAAACACAGCCATCAAACGTCGGAAGTAGCGCAACATCCGCATAAACGAAACGTCAAACAATTATTATAATATATATTTATTAACTAGATCGTAACCATTACGTATCGGAAAAGATAACTTATATAGAATCCATATGATTTGATAATATGATGAAATACCTATTTAGGGTAGAATGAAGATATATATCATACAATTGAACTATACATATATATGATCACTTAAACCTATAGCTATACATCTCAAAATGTAGGACTGCGATAGAAACTCAATCGAATAATTCTGCGTCTTATTCCATTTTTATTAATAATCGATAGGTAAACTGTTGTGGTTCACAATTTCTCGACAACCAACAACAATTACGAAACGTTCAACATGCTCCACATGCTTTTCTACCCTATTCTCGCGCGCTCATCAATTCTCAAAATTGGAACAAGAAAATTCATTTCGCAAGGCAGCTTGTGAACAGTTTTTGTTTTCATTCATCATTTTTTTTTTTTTGGAATAATATTAGTGTATCGGTTATACATATATTATATATTACAATTCTGCGGTTTTATCCATCGCGCTTGTACATTCCATGCGCAAGTGTTGCAAGACGCAGAGGAGAGGTCGCACTTGCCACGACGAGCAATGCTCATGGTTTTTAGAAATCTAGCCATCTAATACGGATAATCAGTCGCTTCTCTGGTAAAGGACAGTTCTCCCAAATAAAGGTTCCTTCCAAAAGAAAATATACTTTCATTCAAATACACTGTACTAACGTCCCATTTCGAGTTTCCTTAACGAGGAGTATAAAATGGCTTGCAACATTTCTGACATGGGCCCTTACTTTTTTTTTTTTACACTGCAATGCATTTACAGAGTACCCACCGTTCTACGTATATAATTCTTTATCGATAACTGTACAATCTATAACGTCACTTTGTATGAGACGACGAACGGTAGTCTGTTAACGTATACGCAACACAGACATTTCAACGATCGCTTCAATAATTATCTCTTCCTCTGATGCCTCGTGGTTGATCACCATCGCGTCCTCTACCGCGATTGTTATATCCACTCCTTCCCATATTATTGTCGCTAGGACCTCGGTTCATTCCACGATTAGGTCCGAGTTTATTTCCGAAATTACCGAAATTTGCATTAAAATTACTTGGTGGATTTTGGCCGGGATTCTGACCACGGAAACCTGGACCGAAGCCTGGTCGATCGAAATTCGGTGGACCAGAATTTGGTCCTCGGAAGTTTGGTAAACCCTGAAAACTACTACCGAACGGTCCTTGATTTGGTCCGAACGGAGGCAAAGGACTCGGCCTGAAATGTTGATTCGGACCAAAATTACCGTTCGGTGGTCTGAAATTAGGACCGAAGTTTCCAGGTGGTGGGCCACCGGGTCCAAAACCAGGATGCATGCCAGGATGGTGCATCATATGCATTGGACCATCAATTCCTTGCATACCAGGATGCAATGGTTTATTCTGCATTGGATGCTGGGACATGTTCGGATGTGGCACTAAACTTGGAATGGGAGGAGGCATGTTGGGATTGATGTTTTGCATGTTGTGATGACTCGACATGTGAGATATGCTATTGCCTAAATGAGGCATATTATTACTCATACCAGATCCTAGACCTATAGACATGCTATCACGTTTATCGAAATTGCCTGAAAAACCACCGTCCCCTTTTCGAGGACCATCGTTCATCGTTTTCTCGTCGTCCCATCGCGAATTACCATCCCGATCTCTATCATCATAAATGTCGTTGTCTAAAGGTTTTTTCAATGAGAACCCATGAGAGCCCCTGAAGTCCTTATCACCGTAATTACTCCTTACGTCGTAATCGGAACGTGAACTAGGCCTGCCAGGTCCGCTAGATATATTAAATCGTAAGTCCTCGTCACGATTCATATTCCTCGCGTTGTCACCGTGCGAAATTTTCCTGAGATCCTCATCTTGTCCACCATGGAAAGAGCTGTTCTCGTTTGAGTGTTGATTCGACTTTGTTCCAGTGTACCTCAAATCAGTATCACTGGATTGCGAATCTTCCGTTATTATTCCGCCGAAGACAGGTTGATGAATCTTTGATGTTCGATCGCTAGCACCACCGTCGCTCCAACCAATGAGCTGATCAAATTTACGCTTTCCACCGCGATTCAGGGCTTTCAGCAGCTCTGGGTTTTGAGCGAATTTGGAACTAGGTAAAGGAGGAGGAAGTTCGATATCGGGAACTTTGGAATAATCTATTTCGCCATCGTCTTGTAAATAATCCTCAGATTCATCTATGTTGTCTGGCGGACCCACGACATCACGCAACTCTTCGATTTCTCCCGAGAATACCAGCTTATTTATTGCATCGTTTCCTTTGCTAATCGCCTCTGCTAGTTTAGAACCGGCTGTAACATTCGTGGTGAAAAATGATCGTATTTTTTAAATAAAAATTATAAAAATATATTAAACGGTACTTACGTTCAACAGGAATCATTTTCCCATACAATATAATACCATTAGCTGTCACTTCGTTTAGAGGCACCGCACCTGGTGTAGTTTCAATCAATTGATTCACAAATGCATTTAAAGCTTCAACTTGTTCCATATCTTCCGCTTCCATCTCGTTCCATTGTGCTTGGAAATTTCTTGGAATCGGCTTGCTATATGGAACCTTTTTATTAGCAAACTTTTTGCCTTCATCCACAGCATGATCCAAATCCAAGCCAGGAATCCCACCGCTTTTATCTTCTGGTTCACCATCGGCATTAATCCTATCTTCGGGTCCCATACCAGGTATAACAGCTGCTTCATCAGCTATAAAACAATTAAACCGTTAATAAATAAACTATTTTGTACGAATATATTTTCCCTGTAATACATACCAATTTCGTGATCATCTATACCAGCTTGGCCTGCAGGTAAAGTGTTGAGATTATATTTATCTCTCATTAAATCGCCAGGCCTATTTCGAGTCCAGAATTTCGAAGTATGATCATTGCTTCCGGAACAAAGAATATGTCCCAATGGGTGCCAAGCCAACGTCCAAACTATACTGTCGTGAGCTTGTTCTATGGCGCCAACTTCCTTGTCGGCTCTGAAAAATAATTGCAATGTATAAAATGTATTTAAAAAAATATTACAAAGTAAAAGAACAGAAGTGTAAGGAACATACCCAACGTGCCAGAATAAAATAGCTCCGTCGCTGCCACCGCTACAAAACAGACCCTCGTGACTCGGATGCCACGCAACGCTAGAAGCTTCCTTTTTGTGACCACGAAATGTCTGAACTTCTTGACTTAAATTTCGTAGATCAAATAACTTAAGCAAATGATCTCGTGATGCAGTTACCAGCCAGTTTCCGTTTTCGTTCCATTTCACATCCATAACTGTGGACTTGTGAGCATGTAAAGTTGCAAGAGATTGCCCAGTTTTTGGATCCCATAATTTAACCGGTTGTTGATTATCTTTACTTCCAGAAATGACTAGACTTTTTTGTGGATGCCAGTGTACACACTTCACATCAGCTCCATGACCTAAAAAAGGATTATATCAGTAGCTATTCTAATAAAGTTTGATATCAAAGAATTCTTAAAAATATAAAATCATATAAGATCTTTTGTAATATATTGATTAACTGTAATATGGTTCATACCCCGAAGAATTCGTTCTTCGTGGCAGCGAAGAAAGTCCCAAATTCTGACTGTTCCATCATCACTGCATGTTGCCAGCTTGTGATCCGTTGGACTGAAACTACCCACCCAAAAAACAAACGTTATATTCAAACAATACGCTGTTATACAATTAGGAAGCGATTCTTTATTTGCAAATGCTCACAATGAAAAATCATCAATAAAATAAATATTCGAATGTTATGGAATGTAGTATATATTTCAGTTTCATTATTCCATTTAGGCACATGTATAAAGGTCAGTATTAAAAAGAATAAAATAATGTAATAGAAGATTGTCTACACACTGAATTTTATTAACTTTTACTCAAGTTATCAGTTTATAAGTGCAATATATCTCAAGTGGAAGAAAACAAGATTTCAACAGATAATCGTCTAAAATATTATAGTACACCTTACGGACATTATCATGGCACGACTCAGAACATGATGCATTAAATATTGAAATTAAAATTGAAATATATAATGACTTACATTTATTACTGATTTGTCATTTTGCTCTAAAGAAGTACTACTTCATGCAATATTTATGTACGGACGAAGCAAGCAAATTCTTATGATATCTGTTGGATAATACATTTGTACATTTAAGCATGCAATTTTGTTAAATCTTAAATGTGATGTATTGTGTAAAAGGTAATTAAAATCCTATAAGATTCAAACAGTCAACTAACTCTTTTTTTATTTAAATTATCTAAATAAGTAACTATTCTTTTATAATTATTGATGAACTTTCTGTATGATTCTTCCTGAAAGCTCAATATAAACGATACAGGCGCGAAAAACATATATAGCAACACATAAAAATATCGAAATAAATTTCACTTTTGGGTCAGTCTTAAAAGTTCATGTATTCATTGAACAATGTTATCATGATACTATTAAAATTAATAACATATCAGTAATGGACTTTACTATAAAATGCACTTTGAGGAATAGCAGACATCAGTAATAAAAGGAAGATCTATGTGTAAATCTCGTAAATAAACAAAAAACCATCTTCGACAGTCATATCTGGCACTCAAAAGTCATTGCTAATCAAGCAATAAACTATTCCTTTAAAATGAAAACGGAATCTCTCTTTGATGCCACATGACCATCGAGCGATATACCAAGAGTGATATTTTTTAAAAGTTTAACATTTATTGCACAAAAAAAATGTCCGAAGTGTACATGAATTTTATTAATCTCTCTGTTACTCTCTCTCTCTCTCTCATCTGCAAAAGGGCACAAGTGACACAAATAGAAGAAGAAATACTTTATTTTTATTGTCAAAACCAAATAATACTGCGATATCTTTATTGAACCTTATTGAAACTTGGATGATGTAAAGAAGGACACAGGATATTTATTTTTATTATAATTCCATGGGAATCTCGACTAGGTATTGCTGCATATATTTCTTGTTTGTTTATTCGTAATTCTAAAAGTATACATTTTTACCCGATAGTCTGACCATATAAACTCCGTAAACCATGAGCCATAAGGACCTAACTTTATTCTTTAGTTATTTACTCCACTTCTGCCTTAACATTTGCTGATATAACAGTGTAAAATAATAAATTCATGCTACTATGATCTACCGGACCGTTTAAATTTATTTAGGTCCCTAAGACTCTAAGAATACAAGTGTGTATCGTTATGATCCGTAAAAGTATAGAAAATTTTTCAAAAATTCAACATAGTCTTGAAAACCTGTTACATACTCAATTTTTTAAACCTAACACATTTATTTAAATAAAAGCAACCGGAACTACCTGTATACTGTCACTCAGTGTTTGTAATATTATTGCATCACATCTGTTTTTTTTTATTTTTTTTTCTTTAAATATAGAACGGAATATTTAACGACATAGATATTTATCGTTAAAAAAAATTGTATTTAAAAAATGTTAATTTACAGAACAGTCGATAGTAACGCGGATGAAAAGTACCCCATAATGTAAAAATTTATTTTTATCACAGACTTTGTATCACAGAAAATTTTGAAGGCCCCAATAATTACATATCTCCTGCATGCCTGCTATCAGAAATTTGTTCAAATACAATTTATCAAAAACTGTAGAGATCACCTGTGTACCCATACAAGAATTACTACTGCCAGAACAGAAGTATTATAAAACCAGAAAAGGAAGAGAATGAGAGTGACGTCCAATATCTTAACTACAGCAAGGATGGACGGATCACCGATAACAGTGGCGCAAGAGACGTAAGGACTAGTGTGGTGGATGGTATACCTGAGTCCTCTAATCGCTTCTTTGTGCGCCTGAAACATCTTGACGTTGTTCATATTGCTCTGCCAATACTTCACGTAGCCTGCATGATCTCCCGTGACCATCCAGCTCTCATTGTGTGACCATACCATTGTTCTTACCGGGCTATCATGTGCCTACGCAAACAAAATTAATTTTTTTTTTTTTTTAAGTAACAATGTTAATTTTAATTGAGGTGTTAAAAATTTGTGTTCAAACGAACATTTTTAACAACGAATTTATGAAAACATCGAAGCATTGTGTTTTTGCATCATTATCGAATTATTATTGAAACCAATAAAATACCTGTAAAATAGTTTCAAAATTAAAAGTGAGGCCATTCCATAGAGTAAATTCTCCGCTCGATGCACCAGTAACAAGACGTCTACCCTCTGGTGTCCAAGCCATACAAAAGATCGGACAACGCATTTTATTTGTTGCAGTTTTCACAAATCTTGTGGTGACTGCATTTATTGGATTGTCAACATAACTAGGTGGAGGAAGTAAGTCAGGATAATACATCACATCTGGCTGAAGGGCACGTCTGTCCCTGTAGTCCCTCTGCCATACTCGATTCTGCACATAAAATTTATTGTATCATCAGTATTTATCTTTGATATAATAAAGTTTTATTAAATAAACTGAGAATTATACCTCTAAACTCTTTATAATGGCAGAATTATAATCCACTGTTTTTCTCATAACAGACTTCCGAAGTCTTTTTCCATCAAATTCATCTTGTAAAGTATCCTGGCCAGCAGCAATGATCTTAGGAGCATGATATGGTCTAAATGGTTTAAAGAAACCACGAGCTCCATCTCTGTGATTGGTATATCGATGCTGATAGCTTCCAGAGGTATTTATGGTAGTTAAATTAGGAGGTGGAGCTGATAAGTTTGGAGCAGCAGGAGGTGGTACTGACATATTAGGTAAACTTATAGCTGGTGGAGGATTTGCAAATTGAGTATTTGCAGACATAACTGAATAATTTATAAAACACTACAGTAACTTTAAATATATAAAAGAAAGTATAAACTAAATGGACAATGAGGGATAAACATGTTTGTTGCTCAATATTGTTTAATGCTGCTATGCTGATGCCATTGCAGTTAATTCTGTAAATAAAAATAAAATACATTTTTCATTAATATTTTATTAAATATTTTTATAATCTCAATAGTATCTTATTAGTTTCCATATTTAATTCACATATGGATTCAATATAGTTGTTGAATTACTTAATAAGGTAAAAACATTTTAATGCTGATTAAATCATTTATTATTAACTTTATTAAACTAATTAAAGAAATGGATTATATTAATCTTCATAAGTCAGCTGTTTTAATACAACATTTTTAACTCAAATTCAGACCTACAATATGCAGACACAATTAGGTACAAAATGAACTTTCACAATGTGTGAAAATTTATTATCAACTTTTTAATAAAGATATTCTATATTTTATCTTTTTATTGTAGAATTTAGGTTCTCCAGAGTTAATGTATTATTATCAAAACCAATACTCAATATTTGTAAATTAATACTAATAACTACTTTTGTTGAAACTGAACACCTATAAAGGTTAGACGATATATTTTCTAGGGAAGTCAAATAATTTTATTATTGTAGATTTTATTAAAATTCTAAATACTTATAATACAAGCTAAAACATGTTTATAAAAATTAATGAACAACCTGCTTAGAAATTCTGAATAAATGTGTTCTGATGCAGTTAACACTGTAAAATCTTTAAAATATACACGACCACTTATTTTCACCGATTATATAAAAATGTTTCCGAAACGATCAATGATATATACGAATTAAAGTAATTACTCAAAACATTACTCGATAAAAATATCGATAATTTGTGTGTTCTACTTCTACCGAATTAATTTAAACGCAACGAACAAGCAGCAAGAGAATTGTATGTCCGCTTTGGACGCCATTACTCTTCTGGGCGATGACATCCGTTTTGTGCGCATCTACTTCCGACAGTGTTGTAAATTTTTGTAACACTGCTACAAAGTGTTACAATAATTGCTTTCAATTAACATGAATACGATCAAAAATAATTTAACGAAATAGAAAGATACAAAAAATGTGGTTTAATAGCTTTGCTATATGAACTAATAACAAAAATATGCGAAGAATAGTAGGGACTTTTATGATTTCTAATTCTAAAAACTGCGTATTCAGGTGATGCGAGCGTCGAGGCCGAACTTCGAATTCCGCGTCGGTAAAACAGTCAACGTTTCATCGAAAATTAGGCCGAACAGAAACTGATTTAAGCGCCACCTCAATTATCGCATGCTATCAACCCTATCAACTAACGGCATGCTATACTACGTCACCTTTCGCATACACCTAAATGACACGTGTATGCTACGATAGCTATATGTATAAGTACATAATTAAATTATACTGACCATGCATTCATTATTATTAATTTTCGTTCCGTAAAATTGTAGTTGCAATGTGATACACTTCAGAATCTGAAAGGCATAGTTCCTGAAAAATATTTAATAGAGATTAAATAGAAAAAAAAGCATAAATTTCACAGCCAATTCGCTCGTATTATTTGCTGTATAATTAATAAATGTACCATAGAAATAATGATACAGTTATTAATTAGTCATCAAATAATAACGATTGCCCAGTTCTCACGACGAGGAGGTTGCTGTGGTTTGGAGACCCGCCTACCTCATCCCATCCACCCTCCATTTATGCAAATTTTTACCTTCATTCAATAATGAATTCCTCTCGAAAATTGTTATAAGAAAAATATTTGTTAGTCAACGTAGCGAATTTCTATCAAATGAAAAGCAGAAATTATGTGTTCTGTAGACAAGAGCGAGATCTGGCGCCTGACGAGAGTCATGGATAAAGTCATGGCCTTTCCAAGGTAACAACGTCTCTGCTTGAAATATCTTCACCAGGGTTGATTTCTTTCTACCACTGCGTATCAAACAACTTCGTTCTTTCTAAATTCCATATTTTGTGATTTTCTTTTTATTTTATTTTTAACCGACTTCGAAAAGAAGAAGGTATAGTTATACGTTCTATACGGTAATATTGCAATCCCGAAAATACTTTTCTGAATTTAAACTATCATTTCCCAATTAAAAAATATATAAATCTTTTTATAGTAGCTCTTAGCTTGATATCGCTTTCTAAAAGTTATCTTTAGAAAACGATATCAATTACCAGGTCACACCACGTGGAGGTGGCTACGTTAGTGACCCACCCTAAAATCATAAGAACGTGAAACCATTCAAAACATCCAACATAAAATAAAAATTTAAACAATACAATCTTGAAATAGAAAATAAAATTAACATCCTAATATCAGAAACAATTGAAAAAATAATAATAATTTAACAATAAAATGCTGTAACGGAAAACATAATTATTAGGATTAGATATGCAATAACGTGAAACCATTCAAAACAGACAACATAAAATAAAAATTTAAACAATACAATCCTGAAATAGAAAATAGAATTAACATCCTAATATCAAAAACAATTGAGAAAATAACAATTCAATAATAAAATGCTGAAATAGAAAATATTATTAACATCATAATTCCTGTAACAATTAACAAAATAACAATTTAACAATAAAATGCTGAAATAGAAAATATTATTAACATCATAATTCCTGTAACAATTAACAAAATAACAATTTAACAATAAAATGCTGAAATAGAAAATAGAATTAACATCCTAATATCAGAAACAATTAAAAAATAATTCAACAATAAAATGCTGAAATAGAAAATATAATTAACATCATAATTTCGATTACAACTGAAATGAAAAATGCTGAAACAGAATATATAATTACCATTACAATCTCAGAGTAGGTTTTAAATAAATAAAACAAAATTAAAATAAGAACATGAAATATAATTGATGTGCAAATCAATAAGAAAAGAATAATTTATTTCAATCAAGCAATAAACGAAAAAGAAATAGGGGAAATAAAATCGCGAGTTGACCATTCAACGAGCTGGGTATTGAACTCGTAAAATGTCGAGTTCAATACGTCCTCGACGGTATTATTCATACCGTTCAAGGAAAAACACAAAAAATGAAAAAACATATTAGCGAGCATAGTGACAGAATGACTGTCCATCCGAAGATGGAGAGCCATTAGTAGTTCCCCTCTTCTGGGCAAATTTTGCCGGGGCTCTTCAGCATATAGCCTCTTCTTTCTTCGGCAATAGCCTCACAAAAATCACTCGCGAAAATTTTACGTTTGCTCAGACATTTGTAAAAACGTAACACGTAAACGAGCAACGATCCCTTGAATCGCTACTCGCATACCTGCACAATTTTTGCAAATGTCCAAGCACAAAACACTTTTTAATTTCACTTCACTTCACTTCACTTTCACTTTAATACTTCATTTTTGTAATCGGGTCTAGTACCACGACTACGACTTACAAACTAATAAGGCTTGGCCTTGAAAAAATCAAGAGAGAATGCTAAATTAATTAATTGATAAATTAATTAAATTGCATTTTCATCATTTCTCTTGATTTTTGGTTTCCCAACCCCAGATACAAGCTTCTCACGTATTAGAGGAGAATACGAAGAGAAACATGAAAGCTTGCTCTGGCCCTGCCTACTTATAAACTAAACTCAATCACACCAGAAGTAAACTACCTGCCTGCCTATCGCTATATTTAAAAAAGGGCAAAAATCATTCTCACAAAAATTCACTCCACGGTTCTCATACAACCACCCGGGTGCAAAAATGCCTACACCTAGAGAGAACGTCCCGGGACGCCTCCGACACCCGAGTTCAATTCAACTTTCACACTCTAATAAAATCATACCTGTTTGCTGAAATCGACTGACAAATAATAGTGAACATTATGCTAAAGTAATACATCTTATTTTCGTATTCGATTGAATTATCTAATGTAAAAATTTTGCAATTTATTCTTGATAAGTATTTTGCAATGTTATAGTAAGTTAAGATTGTTAATAAACGATACAAATCCCACATCCTAACCACACACACACATGTGGAACTTATATCGTGGTTCACTATTGGTTCACTACTTTTGTCAGTCGCCAAAATGTATACTTAAAACTAAACCTTGTCCACCGCCCTCCACCCACGCGAGTACATCTAAGTACCCGAATGAGCTTTGGGCATAAAAATGAACAAGGCCAAAGGTATTTTCACCTACCAGTTTTCTTCATGTGTGCTGAAATGCCTAAGCTAAAACGTATGATTAGCAAAAACTAAAGATGATATTCTCACTTTATTAAAAGTAAGAATATCGGCGAAATTTCACGGCTCCGATTTAGTATATGGGCTGGCCCCCCAGGGGGTTTTATTTTTAATAAAAGTGACTCGACTTTGCAAATATAAAGCTTGAAGAGCAAATACAGAAAAGCAGAATTGAGCAACTATGACACAAAAATGGTGCACTGCTAATATCAGCTGGCAACGGAGGTTCTTAGGCCCCCTGGACTTTCGCCCGACGCTACATACCACCCACCCCGCCTGGACGTCGTAACGCCAGGACAGGATGCACCCCTTCGCTAAGAGCGCTACCCGCCCGTCCAACACGTTGCATCCAACGGTGTCAGATTGACGGACGCCCATAGTATAGACAAAAGGACTACAGTTTAGAATATGGTAACATATTTTCATATGTTCCGTATTCTAAAGCTGCGCCTGCAAAGGCCTAGTAATGCATGGGTTTATCTCCCATGAGATGGTGTTTCACGGTCTTATGCCGCGGAATCCTTGTAACTAATTTGATTAAATAAAATATTGGATTGAGTTTAAAAACCAAAAGGATTCCCACCGAATACTAGTCAGTGCATTGTCATATTTACTCTCGCGTTGGAAATTTTTCGCAACACTAATTAAAATAGAAAATCCTGATCTAAAAACATGACTAGTACATAAACATCTAACGAGCTAATATTTCTCTATACTGATGAATGATGAGTGTGAATGGTGAGTGTTTAGGATCGAGAACCGTGAACGTGACAGAATGAATTTGAAATATGAACGAAGAGCTTTCTATAATGCTTGAAGAGCAAATACTGAAAAGCAAAATAGAGCAACTATGACGCAAAAACGGTGCACTTCTAATATCAGCTGGCAACGGAGGTTCTTAGGCCCCCTGGACTTACGCCCGACGCTACATACCACCCACCCCGCCTAGGAAAGGATGCACCCCTTCGCTAAGAGCGCTACCCGCCCGTCCAACACGTTGCATCCAACGTGTCAGATTGACGGACGCCCCTAGTATAGGCAAAAGGACTGCAGTTTATTAAATGGAACATATGGATGTGCGCCACATTCTAAACTGCGCCTTGAAAGGCCTAGTAATGCATGGTTTTATCTCCCATGAGATGGTGTTCACGGTCTTATGCCGCGGAATCCTTGTAACTAATTTGATTAATTAAATAAAACATTGAGTTTAAAAACCAAAAGGATTCCCACCGAATACTAGTAAGTGCATCGTCATATTTACTCTCGCGTTATTTTTCGCAACACTAATTAAAATAGAAAATCCTGATCTAGCAACATGACTAAAGGGGAGCTTTAAATTATGCTTGAACAGCAAATATTGAAAAGCAAAATTAAGCTAATATGACTCAAACATTCGTCCACTGCTAATATCAGCTGGCAACGGAGGTTCTTAGGCCCCCTGGACTTACGCCCGACGCTACATACCACCCACCCCGCCTGTTTAAGGCTCTAGGCCCAGGCAAGGTGCACCCCTTCGCTAAGAGCGCTACCCACCCATCGAACACGTTGCATCCAACGAGTTCGAGTGGTGGACGCCCATAGTATAGGCAAAAGGACTTTAAGACAGCTTAGCGTATGGGTTGCAACATACTTAAATGTTCCGTACTCTATGGCTGTGCCTGAAAAGGCCTAGTAATGCATGGTTTTATCTCCCATGAGGTGGTGTTCACGGTCTTATGCCGCGGAATCCTTGTAACTAATTTTATCAAATAAAAACCAAAAGGATTCCCACCGAATACTAGTCAGTGTATAGTCATATTTACTTTCGCGCCGGAAATTTTTCGCAACACTACTTAAACTTGAAAATTCTAACAGGGTAATATTTACCCTCGCGTTGAAAATTTTTCGCAACACTACTTAAACTTGAAAATTCTAACGGGGTAACATTTACTCTCGCATTGAAAATTTTTCGCAACACTACTTTAACTTGAAAATCTTTACGGGGTAATATTTACTCTCGCGTTGAAAATTTTTCGCAACACTACTTTAACTTGAAAATCCTAACGGGGTAATATTTCACTACACAAGGGTATGCGGGTGGATAAATGATTATGTGATAGAGTTCGTGAGGCTGAAGTGTGAATGGTGAGTGTTTAGGATCGAGAACCGTGAACGTGACAGAATGAATTTGAAGTATGATCGAAGAGCTTTCTATAATGCTTGAAGAGCAAATACTGAAAAGCAAAATAGAGTAACTATGACGCAAAAATGGTGCACTTCTAGTATCAGCTGGCAACGGAGGTTTTCGGGCCCCCTGGACTTACGCCCGACGCTACATACCACCCACCCCGCCTAGAACAGGGTGCACCCCTTCGCTAAGAGCGCTACCCGCCCGTCCAACACGTTGCATCCAACGTGTCAGATTGACGGACGCCCATAGTATAGACAAAAGGACTGCAGTTTATTAAATGGAACCTATGGATGGGCGCCACATCCTAAACTGCACCTTGAAAGGCCTAGTAATGCATGGGTATATCTCCCAGAGATGGTGTTCACGGTCTTATGCCGCGGAATCCTTGTAACTAATTTGATTAATTAAATAAAACATTGAGTTTAAAAACCAAAAGGATTCCCACTGAATACTAGTAAGTGCATCGTCATAGTTACTCTCGCGCTGGAAATTTTTCGCAACACTAATTAAAATAGAAAATCCTGATCTAGCAACATGACTAAAGGGGAGCTTTAAATTATGCTTGAAGAGCAAATACTGAAAAGCAAAACTGAGAAAATATGACTCAAACATTCGTCCACTGCTAATATCAGCTGGCAACGGAGGTTCTTAGGCCCCCTGGACTTACGCCCGACGCTACATACCACCCACCCCGCCTGTTTAAGGCTCTAGGCCCAGGCAAGGTGCACCCCTTCGCTAAGAGCGCTACCCACCCATCGAACACGTTGCATCCAACGAATTCGAGTGGTGGACGCCCATAGTATAGGCAAAAGGACTTTAAGACAGCTTAGCGTATGGGTTGCAACATACTTAAATGTTCCGTACTCTATGGCTGTGCCTGAAAAGGCCTAGTAATGCATGGTTTTATCTCCCATGAGGTGGTGTTCACGGTCTTATGCCGCGGAATCCTTGTAACTAATCTTATCAAATAAAAACCAAAAGGATTCCCACCGAATACTAGTCAGTGTATAGTCATATTTACTCTCGCGCCGGAAATTTTTCGCAACACTACTTAAACTTGAAAATTCTAACGGGGTAATATTTACTCTCGCATTGAAAATTTTTCGCAACACTACTTAAACTTGAAAATCCTAACTGGGTAATATTTCACTACACAAGAGTATGCGGGTGGATAAATGATTATGTGATAGAGTTCGTGAGTATGAAGTGCGAATGATGAGTATTTAGGACCGAGAATCGTAAACGTGACCACCCCCTTTGGGGGGGCCAACCCATATACTAAACTTATGCCAATTTAACGAATAAAATTGGAAGAACGTTTCAATTTCAAGAGCGATTTCGTTATCAAAGTAAGTAGTTGGAATAATTAAAAGTATTCATGCTTATTACTTTGATATTGAAATCTGCTCATCGCGAAATAAATTCTTGTACATATAAAAAAGAAGGTGTATTCTGAAATCGGAGGGTCATCCGACTTCTCTACACTTTTTAACTCGAAATCTATATATGTAAATATGTACAAGAAAACCCTATCCTGAGCTAAGGCATAAAATACACAAAAAAGCAATTTGCACGATTATCATTGTATAAAATGATACAGTGATATTCGTGGGTCACTATGCTCGCTCAAAAAATAAAAATTACAACCAATTCCCGTGTCGCTACGGACCATTCGTCCTACGACATGATGGGAACCGGAGGAACTTTAAAGCATGCGACTCACCGATCGTTGACTTGCACTACTGCACTCGCCACGCATCTTATTGTTAAGATTAAGATGGCTCGTCAAAGAAACGGTATCCCTACTGGCCAAAGCATCTGAAAGCATAAAAATCACGATTCTTGAACGATATATATTTTCCCTCAATTTGTTGTAGTTAATATGCTAATACATAGGATAATTCAAAAATATGCATGCAAAACTATATGGGAATAACTACACCATAAAACACGGTAAAACACATGCAAATACATCCCAAAACACTTGAAGATCAAAACCATAGAACACTATAAAATATTTGCAAAATTATAGTAAAAGACATAGGGTACCAATCCATAAAACCCACTAATAAATCCGTATAAATATGCCAAAACACATAGGGTACTACTCCATAAAACCCACTAATAAATCCGTATAAATATGCCAAAACACATAGGGTACCACTCCATAAAACCCACTAATAAATCCGTAAATATATGCCAAAGTACAAAGGAAACCACACCATAAAACACAATAAAGCACATGCAGGTACATGGGGTACCACACCACACGGCACACTAATGCACTTGTATAAAAATGTTAGAACACATGGGTGACCACACTAATATATCCGTATAAATATTCCAAAACACATGGGAAACACTATAGGAAACACCATAGGCACACATAGAAACACTTGTGGTAACACACTGATAAATCCATGCACGAATATCCATAGTGTCAACCCGTACCGGTATATGTTTGGCAGTTCCATCCGTATCCTTCGGCGGTCGCGATAAGACTGACTAGATTTGACCTTCCTCCAGGTCGCCGATGTACCGGCGCGCGACGCGCCCAATCAAGCATGACGTTCCGCTTCACCGGTTCCGCGGCCGGTTACATTTAACTACTTCTATCTGATATTTGTTAATATTTGTTTAATTATTATTTTATATTTTACAATTGTTTATTAATCAAATTATTGTTATATCTATTTAAATTGTTTATTTCTTTACATTTCCGCGTGGGTATATTGCAAAATTTTGTTTAATTATTCTATTAAAAATTATTTAATTATTATTTTTAATTTTACAATTGTTTATTAATCAAACGAACGAACTGCGCCCTACAGAATGAACGAGAAACTAAATTTGTGGTCTGTTTTACCTTGTCAACGTCTTTCGCGAGTGAACAATCAACGAAATCGTAGTTTTCAAATTACTTCTACCTGGAGACTTGTACATCATCCCTTGGGTGCTCGTTTTATTCTATCCGACCCAAAGAATATCAGTCTGGTCCCTATTTGGACATACGATTCACAGAAATGTTTATATTACGAATAAATCAATGCAGGTGACTCCGATCCGCCATTTTCTTGACCGTTGACAGATAGCAATTTCAATATTTTATAAGTTTTTGACGATTTGGATAATATAAGGACCAGACAAATATTCTTTAGAACCTTCTGAACACGTCCCTCAAACTTTTTTACATTCTGTTTAGAAATGAGGACGTAATTTGAAAACTCGCGTCTAGGGATTTCTCTAGAGACTGTCGGTAAAGTTTTCGACGCTCGCATCACCTTCAGCATGCTTTATTTTCGATGGGTTCAGATTTTGGGGATCCCAAACACCCACATCTACAGTTAGGTGCCGTCGGGGGTCTTGTTATACCTACTCTTTGCCTCAAGTTTCGAATTTCAAATGATTCAGTGTTAAGTTCACAATGTTGGAATGCGTACCGTTTCATGTTTTCAGCTGATATTACGAAAGATTAATTTCTATAAGACAAATAAGATGGGCAAGAAAATAATTCAACAAAGTGCAGTTATCGTTTTATTCATCTGTTATCTTTACTTATCTCATATAGAATCTGCGATGATCATGGAATCAAGTAAGTTAAAACTAACCTATTGGATTTGTAAATTTGCCGATTCTAATATTACTTGAAAAAGAAATTGTACGATTGATAAGACAACAACGATAAGATCGCTACGTTTTTCCAGCCTTGTACTGTCTTTAAGATGAGCTAATTAATAAATTTTAATTGAACATACACATGAAAATATAGTTGGATCTTTTTTTTCCAGCACACTTTTTAAAACCAGAGGACGTGTATGAAAATGACAAACCTGGATTACAGATATTTTGTCACAATGCTAATTCCAAGTATTTGATACACATGTGGAGAAGTTTAACAGTAAGAGATTGATATTTTGAACGATCTATGTTAGTTGCATATCATATCAGCACCATTGTATGTTTTTAATTTATAGATGCATTTAAATACAAATATAGATAATTATGATATTTATGATGGAAAAAGTCCACAAGAAGTGATGGAAAAACATGATGATAATCAAAGATCTTGGAACTTTAATTTCTTTAGTACAAAAAGACCCAAGAAATTTAAGATGAATCCATTTGAGGATGTATGTGTTGGTGTATATGTGTATCCTTCAAACTCACACAAATACAGAATAAGTATGACACAAACACGTGAGTATAACAATCAGATCAATTATTTTGTAATGATTGCAAGCCATTTAAATTTTACTCTTTCATCAATAGCTATGGACATCTCCAATCTGATATTAATGTTACTTGGTGCTATGATATATTGGAGCGCTCGTAAATTAAGCGGAAATCCTATATTTTATTATGTATGCGGGATTACGCTCGGAGTTACTACTTCAATTATAATTCTAGTATACTTTGTTAGCAAACTACTACCAAGGGTAATTGATTTGTCGGTATATTTTACTCCAAAACATTAACTTTTATAAGCTTAACACGCGTATTTATTTAAAGGGTAAAATTATGTACCTGATGGTTGCCACTGGTTGGACAATGAGCTTTTATCTCATCCAAGCATTATGGGACAACGCTCGATTGATCGCAGTACAATACAGAGAATACGTCACTTGGTACATACTGTTAACATCTCTGATCAGTTTCGTAATTTGTTATCGTTTCGGTCCAGTTACAAATGTTAGGACGAAGAAGCTTATCGAATGGTGCTTACAGGTTTGTATTTCTTTATGTTAATAGCTAACTATTTGAAATCAATTAACGTTTATTTCGTTTGTTCAGATAGCGGGATTAATTATGATGTACTATAGCAGTTATTTTCACGAAGCATCATTCTTTTCCTGCGTCGTAATTGTTCTTCTTTACAATTTTCCAATCGTACTGATTCGAAGAGGGAGAAGTTATTGGTGAGTCAAGTTGATCGGTAATACAAATTGTTTGTTAAGTCTTTTACAAATGAATAAATATTTTGTATTTTGTACTATTATCAATAAATTATTTTTGCATGTTATCTATTGCATTTAGTTTTCTCTTGTATTATGCAAAATCCATATAAAACCTGTCGAAGTATTAATTGCAGCGGCAACAGTAACATAATAAATTGTTTAAAAAGAAAGTATCTATGTTACATGTCTGCCCGCACACGATCAGGAAGAGCATGTTTCCTGACAGAAGGAGGTTGTTAACCGAGAATGAGTATCGTATAGAAGGAATAAAAGAAACGAACAAAGCGTTAAACGAACTGAAAGGATACTGTTCCAGTCCCGACTGTAATCCATGGAAGACAGTTCTAAAATTAAAAGATCCAATCAGGTTATTATATAGACACAAAAGCCGGCGTAATGCAATCATGAGGATTTGAATTAAAATAACGGCTGTTTTTAGATTTGCCAAATTTATGGAAGGCGAATCGCATTTGTCGGAAGACGAATCACGAGAATACGATGCTGAGATCACAAGAATTATAGAGGAATGCGAGTATACGGACGAGGAAGATGATTTTTAACGAAATTTACGCAAGGTAACTACCCTTTTATTAAGACTATTGCCGACAAGTACAAAATGATGTAAATACGTACAGGGGATTTCGTCAAATTTCATACGACATTCGTAAACGTTCGAATTGTAAGAAATAAAACGTTTACTGACTTAGAATCATTTCATGTAAAATAGTTATTTAAAATGTTTTTTTCAATAAAACCGGTGACCACGACTTAATTGTTAGTTGGGTACAAGTAGGTACAGACTTTCCCGTCGATGTTCGAATCGATTCAACAACTGTTTCGCAGTTGTATTTTACCCAATACACAACAATTTCAGTAGATAAGTGGAAAGTGGTATGTGGAAGCGCGAACTAGTCGTTAAGATGCATGTCGTGACTTGTTAAAATTTGTCACAGCCCTTCGCGATCGTATTCTTATCTTGTTTGCGTGACTGCGATTGACCGTATTCATTACCCCATGCATCCCCCCTATAGTTTGTTCCAGTTATACTTTTGCGAATACGATTTCATACCTTAGTTCGTTCCAATTAATTTCCATTTCATCGAGAGAAAATATGTTTGAAATGCAAGCTACGCGTTTGTACACACGTGTTACGGGCTAGAGATTTTCACGTGTAACGAGGGAAGAGTCGTGGAATACCTACCACCGCGAGATAAACGAGAAAAAGCGAAAGCTTTGTTCAAGAAACCGAATGTGGGTCAGTAATCATCGGAGTCTCCGTTTCTCTTTCTCCTTCTTTCTTTCCTGTTGGATGGACGGAATAAAAGCAGGACGGTGATTGTCGCACGAACAGCGACCATTTGTTAGTTTTTCCGCCTCCTCCGGGCTTTCCACTTTCCTCTTGTTTCGGTACGACTGGTTTTCGCGCTTCCAACATCCCAGTTATTACTTGGCCGTGCAAACAGCTTGGTCCTGTCGTTCCAAGGAATCGGGAACACGTAATAACACGCGAATCCGAGCATCTCGATCCTCCTAGTCTCCCGTTTCTTCATTTCGCTGGTTAACGCAACAAATTCCAAAGGAATTCTCTTAGATCGTACATGGGATTCTTGACGTTTCACCGACTGCAAGAAACGTCTTGAATCTCGCTTCTTCTCGAATGCACGGTAAATCGTGATCGGGCGGCAACCAACACCGACAGGTGGTCGTCAATCGGACACCTTGCAAAAAGCTTCGCCATCGAGGCGTATGCGTGCGGCTTCGCCACGTTCACTCGATTGATCATATTGGATTACAAATTGCCGCGGAACGCCCATACATTACCGGCTACAATCACGCGAACCAATAAGTTCCGCCTTCCTTTTATGCATCTCGATCTTTCCTATCGTATCAAACCTAAGACTTTACCTATTTCACGCGTTTGGTTTACTTTGGAGAACCGATTTAGCGATTTCTCAAATTTCTTAATCGATTCGACGAACGTTTTAAAAGTCGCATCGATAAATACACGCGTGTAGACGCGGAGGATGAAGGCGGGTACGGCAACAAGGTGTCGTAAGCCGAGCGTAGAAAATGTTTTGCGAGAGCATGGTACATTATATCGAAAGGTAAATCGTGCACGACCAAGCGGTCGGAGGAAGCCACGTGATCGGCAGGTGGGATTGGTGGCGGTCCAAAGGGCAGAAGCAGGATCAATAAGACAAAGACTGGTTTTCCGTGATGCATGGCGCACCTGCTCTTCGGACCGACGCGAGCACAGCTAATTCGATCTGTTTCGCGATCCTTTATCCGAAAATCTCGAGGCTTTTGCCGATCGACCGAGTTCGACGATGCTTGACGCGTCGCGTGACATCGCGAATGTAGAAGGAGAATTTGTTTTGCCGAGCTGTTTCGACGTGTAATATCGTCGCTTTCGAAGGACACCGATGTACAGAGCGAAACGAGGCGAGGGGAGGATGAGAAATGTGAAATTGGCCGAGATACCGAGTCCATGGCCAAGTTTGTCCGCGGTACGCGTTTCGAACAAACAACACCGAGTACCGACACTGTGCATCCAATTATACGGGCGAACGAACACGGTGCATCACCTTCTCTTTACGATCTCATTTCGATGCTTTAATGGTTTTGCGAGGATCGTTTGAGAAAATGCGGGGACCAGTGGGCCGCGACCTTCCGAGGAAGGAAGGCTAGATCCTCGAGAGGGTGCTACCGAGGGTCCCGAAGGGACTGGCCGAACGCGTGCCATCTGCCGACTAGTTTTCTTCGAGTACCGGTTGCCCTTTACCTTCGAAAACGTGCATAGCCGACAGCCTTTTAAATCGACTACTTTGGCAATCACGGTCAGCTGCCTAGTCGGCGTCCTTTTCCGGGACCCGAACGTCTTCCTTCCACCTCTCTTTTCGCTCGCTTTCTTCCCGACCATTCCTCCTCGCCCTTTCTTTCTTTATTCCTCTTCCACGACCCCGATCCCAGAGGAACAAAGACGGAAAGGAAGACCAGGAACAAAGACGCACGCTCGATCCTTGCTGTCTGGAAATTCTACACTCCTATCAGACGCGTCTACGACTTTTGAAAAAGGAAGAAAAGAAAAATGGCTGGAGCAAACATTTAGATAACGCAATGCAATTTGGCGTCGCTTAAGAAAGAGGTCGATGGGCGCGGGGAAAGAAAGGACACCTTGATGTACCTTAAAAGAAACGCGTCAGACGAGGACGGAGTGAAAGCAAGAAGAGGTTAAAGGTTGGTGATCTTGCCACGAACTCGGAAGCTTCTCTCATCGATCTGACCTTCCTTACCAAACAATTACTTCCTCTTCGCAAAGTATAACCAGAGTAGAAATCGCTCTTACGCCGCCTGTTATAATTCGAACGCCTATAATGAAAAGATACAGGCCAAGCACACTTGTAACGAGTTTCGTTTAATAACTTTCCCGAATCGCTTTTAACGAGCAAGCTAACTCGTCCGAGCTTTTGAGTTTCCGAGTTGCCAGCAAATTTACTTTACCAGTCTAATTCCGCGCGAGTCAAGCACGCTCGCGATTCCTCGTTTCCCGCTCTCGGAGTTTGGAAATTTTCCATCCGGATTGTTTTCTAATCTTCTCGAAGATTAATTAGAAATGTTTGAAATGTTGGAAATATTTTCGTGTAAACGTGTACCGAGTTCCCGATACAACTTCGTTAATTCGAACTCTGGTACAGAGGCGGATACCAGTTATTGTTCGAAGAAGCGTGGTATCGCGGTTTCACGGAGCAACCAACTTGCCGCGTTAGTCAGAATTATCGTTTAAAATGTCGTCAACCTCGAGCAGCCTGACCGGACGTTATGAAAATACGATAAATACGTATATCCTGTTGGAACGAACGCGACTGGCAAATATCATTGTTCCCCGGGTGTTTCGCGTCATCCGGTGCAATTTTGCGTTTGACAGCTACCGCGCGGGTGCCATTAAAAATGGTACAGACGCTCTGTTATCGCGTACTCGCGAGGCATCGTATCGTTTACGTAGCAAAGTATAAGAGACGGAGCGATGAAAAGGAGGGAAGAATAAAGCATTCGTTTACGGGGCTCGCTGGTTTTTCTCTTTCTTCGTCATTCTACCGTATACACCGAACGATTCTTCTAGGACGAGTGGCGACGGCACTTTACTTCCTCCTCCTCCCACACATCCGTAACTACTCGCGTTAGATCGTGGTGAACAGCGACCAAGAGCAATCTCGGTAAAACGCTGATGGAGGAGGTCGATGCATTCGCCGCGAATCAGGTCGCGTTTCTCAAAGGCCGTACGTTTAAAGAGCAAACAATGGACGGGAAGAACTGGACGCGGTTTTCGCGCTGTTCTCGATCCTACGTACGAAGGATCCGTTTTCATTAGCGCATATACACGCGCCGTGTATTCGCTGCGGCTCGGGGTGCTCGTAAATTGAAAAAGTTTAACGATGCTTCGTGCACGGCCAAGTAGTTGGTTGTTAACCGTTTACGTCTCTCTCGAATCGACCGGTCGACGGTGAACTTAACTTGCTTTCTTCTGTGGCCAGGAGGAAAAAAACGTAACGGATGAAGCGAGAAAGGAGGGAAAACCGTGAGAAGAAACCGGAAGCGAGGGAGCAAGATGATGGATCGAAGGGGAGAGGAAGAAAGGAGATCGAAAATACCGGAAGGATCAAGAGAGACGAACGAACGGAAGAAGAAGAGAAGAGAGAGAGACACTGAAGGGGCGTAGGGAAACTGCGAAAAGGCCGGGAAATACAGGAAATACGGGAAATACGGGAGAAACGAACAGTGGTGAGTATAAATGGGGGGTGGTTGATAGGGATGGGTAGGATGGGGTGACGAAGAGAGGATGAGTGGTGAGTCAGTGAAACGAGAGGCGCGGAGAAATGGCTTTCTATCGCTCGTTCGAAGGAGATATTTCAAATTATTCGCTTTCGTTTAAATTGATGCGCAAACGGAATCGTTATTCGACCCTTCTTTAGTTTCACAAACGAAACGCAAACAGGATGTTCCTTCGAAACTCGAAATTCTACCGTTCGACCAACGGAGAAATTGAAAATGTTACGCAACGATTAACATTTTCAACGCGATACGAATCGATCAACGCTTTGGCGTGATCTCACCGCGTACAGGCAAGTCTGGTAAAATCGATACTGCTGTTTTTCAACGCAGGTCACTGCTTTCGTAACTCGTTCGGAGCAAGTCCGAACAGCTGCAAGATACATTCACTTTTCATAAGTTCCCTCGCTCGGAAAAAGGATACACTTACGGTAGAGCGACCGGTGCGAACCGTGGAGATTACGCGATAGCGGTTGCTTATAGCCGCGCGCCGATCCTCTATCGAAATTCGTCAGATTTGGAAATACGTATGGATTTTCCAGAACGACTGAATTTCACGATTGCGAGATCCGTTCCGACGAACGAATCCTCGTCAATCGTCGTACGCGTAATCACGATTACGCGGTAATTAAGATCCAGATACGGATACCGTTCGGTTGTAAACTAGTTCGGTAACGAGAGAGAAAGCTAGAAGGGGTTGGAAACAGGGAGCAATAAATTGAAAACAGCTTAGGAGACTGCGACGGCGGGATTCTAAGCAATTCGATTACACGTAGATCCGCTTGTTATCCGTGAAATAAAAAAAAAAAAGAGAAAAAGAAAAAAAAGGTAAAGAAAGAAAAGAAGGTCGATAAAAGAGTATAGAAGCGGCGGGTGCGGTGAGGCGGTGGCGGAGGTTCTCGGAGTCGCGAGCAGAGAACCCCTGTAGCGCAACGAGCGTGTGCAGCGTGCAGCGGGCAACGAGCAGCAAGCGGCAGGACAAGTAGCCGAGGAGAGTGGGGGTAAAAAAGGCTGGACGAGCCAATCGGAGACGCGGGTGCGCGGCACAGATGCGCGCTAGAATTCGAGCCGCCGCGCCGGGCTGCTCAGAGCGAGCGTGGACGTTTGCCGCGTCGTATCCTTTGCTTTTTACGTTCGACTCCACTTTGCTCCTTTCTACTCGCAACACACGCTCGCGAGTCACTCCCGTTCTCGGTTCACGATTACTTCGTTCCCCGATTCTCGGTTCCCTCCCGATCCCCTCGTGCTAGTCACCACTTTTTCAAATTCCATCTCGACCGATTCCTGTCGTCGCGAGTGTTCCGTTCCCATCGGATTAAGGACATCCTGGTGTCACGTGAATTTCGATCAGAGACACGTAAGATTCGCCAGGACTTCCGGGCGAGCCGAGAGTGCGAAGCAACGATAGTCAGTGCCGTTGCGGAGCGAACGATCGGATATGATAGATCACCGGGACGCGTGTCAAGGATGTAGAATCGGAATTGTGTCATCGGCCATCGGTCCTCTCAGCCCGCTAGTGTGAGAATTCGAGCTATGGAAGCATCGTTGTTCCCGTTCGCCTCCGCTGCCTTTTTGTTTTCGCCGAACCGAACCGGATCGAATCCGCGGACAAGAATGTAAGGATTGTAGACGGGGAACCCGCGAGTGTCAGCTTCCAGCGAGATTTCATCGATTTCAACTGTAACCGAGGCATCCGCGTTCGCTGCTGAATTCGCAGTCGGAGCAGAAAGGTCAGTGCACG